TCATCCCTCTTTTACTGATACGTTTTATACCGCACTGTCGGACGGTGCGCTGGGGTGTGTGGTGTTCTTAAAAGATCTCACTCCACACCTATCATGCCTCTCGGGGAGACTCGCCTGCGGTGTTGCATGATAATTGTTCTCTCATTAACTCCTGACCTCTCCCTGAGCCAAACTAAACATGGAAAGTAGAAAAAAAGTAAACGTTGGAAATGTCAGAAAAAAAAGATGTTTCCGTAAATTAACGTCAAGAACACATTTATCCACTCAGAGCAAATGAAATGCAGACGTAACAACATGAAATCACCGCAATTCAAATGGGAAAAAGGGCACGTATTGAAAAAATTGTATTATTCTCATCACGGAAGGTATCACAAATTCCTTCATTTCATTGCAGTGCCGCATTCCATTCCAAAACTATGGAGGTCAACTGCAAACAAATTGGAATTGGCGGGAGGATCGTCTTCGTTGAGCGTAAGTCTCGGTCAAGACAAAATGAGATGAGAGAAAATTCCAATTTGTTCGCAGTTTTGACCTCCAAAATCCTCAATTTGAATGCGGTACTGGGATGAAATGAAAGAACTATATGAAAATAGTTGTAACTTTTGTTAGTAATGCTGTGCCTCAATGAGCTTGGTAGGTGGAACATTATTCAGACCTTTACAATGAGGATTTCACTTCTTCTTAGGTTGCATTCTAAGCATACGTTTGTAAATGTTCCACCTGCCAACCTGAAGCATAACATTACTAAAGGTTTGTAAATGTTCCACCTGCCAACCTGAAGCATAACATTACTAACAGAAGTGGTTACTCACCATGGCGAGGTTGCAGTAGGAGAGAAGCTGGGAAATCTGAATAGGCAAAACGAAACGAACATTTGAATATGAGCACCCCTCTTGATTGAATTCTTCAAAATTTACTACGATGAGGTAAGCATCCGACCGAACTTCTTCAGGGGTGTCGTAATGTTGTGCCGGTTAGATGGTCCATTTATCGAGTAAATGTTCCACCTACACAACTGCTTTCATCGAAAATCACTTCCTACTAGATTGTATTCTTTACAGTTTGCTATATTGAGATAAACATAGATGGAACATTCATCTAATAAATATTCTGCCACCGTGAAGCACATCATTAACAGAAGTTATAACTCACCATGGCGAGAAAATGTGAAAGTGGGAAGACGAAATGTGAAAATAAGCAAGACGAAACAAACAATCAAGTACGAACACAAGAAAACCCTAAAAAGCAACACATCAAGCAAGTGTTTCGCAAGTCTACCATGCGTTTGGCGTGTAATGTAGTGTGGTGGTGCACTCAACATGGATGTTTTTCACTTGACGCGCAAATGGGGGTACTGTATGTTGCCTGACAACCTGAACTTATAATCTTGTATCGACAGGCAGATCGGCGCCTCGCCCGCGCGGGAAGCCAATTCTGACGTTCCAATTTTGGGCGGATTCGGAGAAATCGACACTCACGCACCTCCGTTCACGCTCCCTCGACTTTGCCGACGTTTCCTGAGAGCGCTCGATGGTACTACGGGTCGACAAGTATTTCCTGATTTGAACCAACCTTCTACCGTCGCCGTGACGCGTGTAATGGAGTTGGTGACCCTGCTCTTCCAAGGCTCTTCAAGGTATCTTATCGGCTGTTATCACTTATTGTCACCATAGTGTTCCCATCCTGTCCGCTATCTCACTTCTTAGAACCAACGTCTCGCCATGGCTGTGGCGCTATGAAGTTAGTGACCCTCTCCTTGTAAGGCTCCTTATGCTATTTTATCAGCTGTTATCACTTCCTGCCACCCATCAATGATGTTCCCTCCCATCCTGACTCCTGCAGTCGTCATCCGGTGACTTGATTTGGGCGGCAAGGGACGCGACGCGGCTGCGGTGTGTTGCGAGCGCGGCGATCAGCTGTTTCCAGCCTATTTTAGCCATTTTACTCCCTAGTTTATCCCTAGTTTACGCTGTTTTGGCTGCTCTTCTCGCGATTGTTTTCTATTTTTTAGGTTAGTTATAGTATTAAGACGAGGAGTGTTTTCCTTTGTTTTGCAATAGAGTGTTTTTGCGATTTTTTTTTCAGCTATTTGTTCGATTGTCTGCTTAACTGTTTAATTGTACGCAAAAACCAGAAGAATCTCAATCATAATTTAACTTGTGAAGACAAGAACAACTAATCGTGAGAAAAGCAGCCAAAACAGCGTAAACTAGGGAGAAAATGACTAAAATAGGCTGGAAACAGGTGATCGCCGCGCTCGCAACACACCGCAGCCGCGTCGCGTCCCCTGCCGCAATAATCAAGTCACCGGATGACGACTGTACATCACTTCTTGGAATCAGCGTTCTGCCGTTGCTGCGGCACGCGTTATGAATTTGGTTTCCTCCTCTCTTAAGACCTCCCCCATGGTATATTATCAGCTCTTATTACTTCTTGCCGCCTATCACTAGGGTTCTTGCCTGACTACCGGCATCACTTCTCAAATTGAGAGGTTTATCGCCGTTCTGGAGGAAGTTATGAATTTTCGGTCCAACATACATACAGACACGCAAACATCTGTACATTCACACACACACAACAACAGACAAACTTAGCGGATATGTAGGAGGATATTCCTTTGATCTGTAATTCCATAAAGTTCCTTCAGATGCCATTATTAACCGTCAACATAACAAGATTACTTTCACTGTTCTATTGTACTCGATGCACATGCGTGGATTTCCAGTGTTGTAAGTTTCATCGTAGTTGTGATTGAAGAGTGTTTAAATTTGCTGGAAAGTGAACTTGTCGTGTCTGTTTTCCGCTCCACTCAACTACGGTCGGTTTATAACTGTTACTCATTATTGTAGCATAATGCTATGTGGTGCAGACTGCAGTCCTCCGTGTCCTACAATTAGTCGTAAGTATTGTATCTGAATGAGGGGCACCCCAGCATCTTTCCTGTTCTCACACTACACTTCTGAAACAGTTTTGATTCTCAAAAGTTCCACATGTTGCCAACATATTTTACCCTTATGGCAAATATATGCTGAAAAGCCGGCTTCAAAGTGTCGAACGACGTGCTTCCAGTTCCGAAGTCAAGGAATCAAGGAGTCATTCTCAGGAGAGGCCACTACGACTGCAAAAATTGATCCTGATCTCGATCGCTCAACTAGAATAGTGGGTCTTCCGGAGAGCGAGTACCTAATTCCGTGGATCGTGTCTATCATAGTTACAATTCTCTTTCTTTTTTGTGGTAAATTTCCTAGGAATTGAATGTGTACCCAGTCTAGTGTATCGCATGAGTGTTAAGAAATCTCCACGAATCGTCAGGGTTGTACTTCCCTGCAGTAGTTTCCAAAGAGAGATGATAAAAAAGCAATGAAGGCTTGCGGTTCTTTCCTTACAGAGGAGCTTACATTCGTCCATCTTTGACGAAAGAAGAGAGAGATAACAGGCGCAGAGCTCGTATTTCAACTTCAGATCGCACTTCCTGTGACATTAGTACACGCAATACGCAAAACATGGTTGTCAGTAAACAGGTCGCAGGGAGCAGATAATGTAAAAACTTCACCCCTCAGGGATCTTTGAATTCCCCGGCCTGGAGCTTGGATCAGATATTTGCTTTCTAACGTTTGATCAATCGTCGGAAACTACAACTCACTAGTTTTAGCTCTAATTTACATGAACTAAGACTTGGTTCTCGTCACAGAAACCTGGCTGACAGTAAAAATAGCCGTTCCTGGGAATTACATAACCACAATACGATCTTATCCATGCGACCGCCTTTATAAAAAGGGAGCGGGGACTGTAGTTCTTATCAGGAACTTCGTATCTTTTGATATTATTCTCAAAGATTCTTTGAGAGATGCTTATGAAATCATTGTAACTGACAATTTTTCGATCGATGCTTTAGGATAATCTTGGTATACAGAACTCCACTTTGTAATTCTAATGATTCTAGCCTATTGAGGAAATTAATAAGTGATTTTTGTGGGCAAAACCTTCCCTGTTTGGTTGCAGGCGATTTTAATTTAGCTGATATTGATTGGAAAGCTGAACGAGGGGGCGACGAATGTAGCATAACTTCCAAAGGGTTTGTTGCTTTATTTCGCACTTATAGCTTTAACAGCGTGCTGAGCAGTCAACAAGAGGTTCCTCCTTGTTAGATTTGATCCTTTGTAACGATGCTCGATAAGTTAAAAATGTAGAAGTGATCCATCCTGCTGGTAAAAGAGACTTGTTTTCAGTCTGAACTTAGTTCAAATAGAGCGCCTCAGAGAGATGAGTGAGACATTTCACTGAGGCTAATTATGGGGCAATTGAAAAATACCTGCGCAATATTCATTGGATGGTTCCTTGCTACTGCGCATTCCGTAAAGGAGAAATATGAGTTATTCGTTTCAATTGTATTGTATTGTATTCTTCATTACACTATGGATATGTTTGCTCCCTGCGGAAGATCAGAAGTGCAAGGTACAAACTGCCTCGGTGCCTTGAAAGAATGGTAGGTGATAGAAAAATTCGGTCTTATGCCATAGCCGTATCAAGCGCAGAGACACTGCATCCACAAATAAATAAACAAATGAATTTACACCCCTATGAGGATTAGTTCGTGATTGTTGTGACCTTATTTTTGATTGCTTGGTCGTACCTGTGCTCGCTCAAATGCCAGTTGTGGCAAGAGCTATGTTTTTTCAACATAGCTCTTGGATCAGATCGAAGACGGCTGAGTGCTCCTGGCTCCTAGAAATGAATCAGATTCATTCTTCGGACGCTCTTGTGATTGTTTTCGAGCGCATTCCATTTGCTTTCATTATATATCCTGATCGATATAATTTTGCGGCTCTCATCAGGGCCTTTGCAATCTTGTTCAGGGAGTTCCAGCTCAGGAACCCGTCAATGTTGATATCAGCGTTCCTGCTCCTCAACTGGGGCCACTCCTAAGAGACAATGAGATGTAGATAAGCAGAAGGAGAGGGAGATTCCAACGTAACGAGTCCCAGGTCCAACTTCGTCGGATGCATTCGCGTTCGCTCGGCGAGGCAAGCATCGGGATGTGCACCAGTGTGTATCGTGCTATACATGAAAGTCTGCAAAACGATGAGGCTTTGACTGACAGTGAAGTGCTTACATAATTAGCAACAAATGATTTTCGTTAAAGCCGTTCGAGACAAATTATTATATTAAATTAAATTATTATTATTTAGTGGCGCGTGTGCGACTGAACACATTCTGAACGTAGTAGCAGAAGACAAAGTCAAACGGATAGGAAGTTTCAGGTGGCATTATAGGGATTTGAAATTAAACAGCAAGTCTTATTGTGGTAGAATGCTGCAGATGACCCCTTATTCAAAAATGCCAGATTGTTCGGGCCATCAACTCGTTCAAGGACAAAGAGGTTACTCTCGACAGTACTATGGAAGATTTGGTCAAGGATGGCTGGATTTCTTCTTATGAACAGGAGCAAGCCTTTACATATACTATTCTGAGGGAACTAAAGGTGGGCGGCAGTAAGGAATCGCAAATAATAACGGATCGTGTCTGTCCGAACAAGGCGATTGTCTTCACAGATGGTCTGTAGCATTGGCCCGTATGCTATAGTTGCTGATGGTGTGCATACGAAGCAACGAAAGAAGCTCGTGAAGCTGTACTGCGTCCATAGAGTGTGCGACCAGGAGTGAAAATTATGCTTCTCTTCTCAGTGGTCGCGCGGAAAACGGAGCAGATATACATTGGAATCTTACTGCACGTCAAAGACCTCTTCCACCAATCATTTTCGCCCGAGACCGATGCCGCCGATAGGAATTGCGGTCTTTGAAAAGGCACCTATAGCCGCCGCTCGACGCTGTTTCCGGAACCATATGTGGAAGGATGCGCGTTTCATTTAGCGCGAACGTGGAACAGGTATTGTCGTACCTCATTCCTTGGATTTCGAGGAAAGAGCAGATCTTCATTTCATGCGGGAAAACAGCTGCAATCTGGCACTTTGCAGGGCCATGGCAGAGTTCCATCGTAGCGGAATGGTGGGATGCTGTAAAAGAGGTAGTTTTCCTCCCTCAATATTTTTAGAGGTAGCGATGCTATGACAATATGGCAAGAACGTGGTGTAGTTCCGCTTCAGGTCCGAGCCATGTGGGCAACACCTGTTGCGGGACCACGTCGCACGCGGAGCATGAACGGAATCTCGTGAATACGTGCACACGACGTGGTTCGGACCATATAAGGACGTCTATCTGAACTACCATTGTGGCACTGCAAGTAAGATACTGTTAGAAAGAAGCATGTACGAATAGAAACATTTTCTTTACTTTTCAGTCAACTCAAAGTTAGGTTCGGAATGGATCATACGGATATCAGAACGCCAACAGGGAAGCCCATGTACTTTGACTTGGGAGCAAAGTGTGCGTTGCCCAAGTTATGTGAGGTCTGTCTCACCTCACATAACTTGGGCAAGTAGCTATAGTAACTCGCACAAGTAACTATTTTGACAACACACTAATTCTAGGACTTCAAACGGGAAAAGCATCTGAGGGACCGAGACCACGTCCAAGGGAAAACGTCGAAACCAGCTGAAGCGGTCAAAGTTACATCATAGGCGATACTATATCATTCCGTTATCCTGATTTCGTTCAGCTAGTCGAGATTTATAGAGAACGAAGAGTAAGGAAGGGCGAATCGGACGATTGTTCTCGATATTATGTGAAGATATGTATACGGCAAAGTTCTTCAGCAACCATGGCAATAAATGTTCCAATAAACTATTGTCTGAGCCAAGCAAACTAGTTCAGCCTACAATGCGAAGAAGACAGCATGAGTAAGGTTTGATAAGTTCTTCTGTGCACACGAGGTTGGTAGGTGGAAACTTTATTATGGCCTGACGTTTCGACTAGATCGTCTTCATCAGAGGCCTAAACGTGGCTCATGGTTTGAAATTGCTCTCTCTACACCGCCAAAGATCTCCTCTTCCCTAACGTTTCTGACAGACTACTGAGAAAACCACCCGAAAATCCCGAATGAGAGGAAAGACTCACCCAGTCCACCACAGCGAGAGCGGAAGTAGCCGCTCAGTTAGTTGTTAGTAGAATGAGTGGGACTTACTGTGCTGCACGAGCTCCGGCAAGGTTTCAGGGAATACGTGAGTTAAAGACACATGGTACGCTCAAACACTTGAGGGTGTATGAGACTATCAGCCCCCAGCTGTCGATGTGTCGTGGTCCCCCCGCCCAAACATGCCCAGGAATGGAGATACAGGACCGTGGAACACGCTAATTCCTCCATGCCTTATACCTTTTTGCGGCGCAGATTCCCGTCCTTCATAACCATCCGTTGCGCGCGCGCGTGTCGCGTGCGGCTCCTTGGCACTTTGCCAAGTCCTTTAATTGCGCTCTCAAATACGAGTAAAACGCAATTTCCTGATGCGGATAACATTGGAGGTGCTACAAAATTGTGGGAATGCGCGGCCTGTGATGGATACTGCAGATGCAGCCGAGTTACTCTTGAGTTCTGGCCCTCGTCTTCATTTTCTGTTCTGAGAATAAAAAAAACCCAAGCGTCCCACTCGTTTGTTCTAAGTATTTCTACGGCTTTGGCGCCAGGATTCGCGCCGGATTGTAGTTTTACAGGCAGTTTATCTAATTTGCCTTTCCTTGATTTTTTCATTTTTGTTTTGTTTACATTTACATCGCTGTGCTTCATTTCTAGCCTGTGTCATCTTCATCTCCTTGTACATGGATTTTGAAGCATGACCTAAACTTTTATTCGCATCAGCAGAAGTGGCCCAGTCGCTTTTAAGTTCTGACCCTCGTCATCACTCTCCTCGTTCTCTATTTTGTACTACTCCAATCGTTACATCCCGCATCAGGAATTGCGTTTTACTTGTATTCTGAACAGCGGCATATTAAAAGGACTGCCAAAGGAGCGCCAAGCGACACGCGCGCTTACGACGGATGTTATGAAGGACGGGAATCTGCGCCGCAAAAAGGCATTGGGCGGAGCATGGACGAACTAGCGTGTTTCACGGTCCTGTATCTCCATTCCTGCGCATGTTTGAACGGGGAAACCGCTATGCTTCGACAGCTGGGGGGCTGCTAGTCACATACACCCTCAATGTGTGTGAGCGTACTATGTGTCTTTAAGATCAAACGGTACTATACGTGTCTCTGCCAGATCGGGAAATCACAGAACTCCACCTATCGGACACATCGCTTTACCGGCGCGCGAGCGAAAACGAGTTTGTGGCCCAATGCAGGCGCCTCAACAATGTTTGGATGGCTCAGGGTCTGTCTGCGGGTCTCAACGAGAAATTTCTTAGTAGACTCAGACTTGACAATCCAAGTTGTCCTGTCTTCTACAGTCTCGTGAAGACCCACAAACTCGCTCCTAGTGATATGCAGTCGACGTCACCAAACACTTTCAAGATAAGACCTATAATCAGCTGCGTCGGAGGTCCAACCGATCGTATTTCATGGTTCCTTAACTGTATTGTGAGCCAGTTGCTAACCAAGATTCCCTCCCACTTGACCAATACGACAATGTTCCTTGAAACACCG